AATCATTAGTTGATTCAAAATGATAACTAGTGTATGTATCATTCACTTCAGACAATTCAGGAGGAGAACATGATAACTTGGAATCAAAATTTTCAGGAGAGGCAAGGGGAAGAAAATTAATTTATTTCTTAGTTTGATTATTGTTCTTGTTCTAAACTATATTCAAGATCGTAAATGTTTGAGGAAAATAAGTTTGAATCGGGGCCATAAAGGCTGCCCCACCCTCAAAGCAACATAAGCCACGACCCTAAACCCAACCGCCATTAGTACCAAAACAGCCACGCTCAGCCAGTTGCCGCCAACACCCACAAGCTTGATAGAAGGAAAATCCATTACTCGACATTGCAGCCCAGCCCCACAGCCGTAAGTCTCATTTTCTGTGTATTGAATTCCCAGAAGAAGCTTAAAGGCGTGGTGACAGTATGACAGATATTTCAACCAAGCTATGAAGCCTGGGAGATGTCCAATGTAGAACCCTCCCAGCATCAGAAACCCCACGGTTATAACAGAAGCAAAGGTCGAAGCCTGTTTTGCGTCCATCAGAATGGCCCCAAGTGCGAGGCCTAGCCCTTGAGCGGTCAGCACGTTGAGAAGAGTGACCAAAAGGGTCAGAATAAATTTGGATGCCGATGGTTTTAGGCCACTCATCCAGTAAGGTACTGTCACGAACATGGCCGGTAATAGCAGCTCCATCGGCAAGTCGATGACTGTTCGAGCCATGAAGTAAGAAGAGAGACGGTACATACTGGAGGCTCGCTCTTTGTTGAGAATCGATTGCTCTTTTGGGAACTCGAAAACCGCCATGTAAATAGCAAGAATGCTCGAGTTAACGGCGAAGATGAATAGGAGTCCAACCTGTTTGTTAAAAGTCCCCAGAGAAATATTTGGTTGGAAATCCATGGATTATAATTTTTAAGAATTGGGTTTGGAAAATAATACCTGATCTTGAAGGTTTGAGATGCTCGATCGCCACCAGAGAATACCTGCAATGATTGAGATTGACATGGTATGGAAAATCCTTGAGCCAGAGTAGGATTCATGTTTCCTTTCTTTTAACCCTCTACTTAGCAACACCACAAATTGATCCCACCAGCTACACGCCCATCGTTCTTGTTGGCCTACAAAAAATGCAGCAGCAGATGATTGGAACGATCAAAACACAAAGAAAGGGGAAGGAGATGATTAGATTAGATTAGATGAGTGACTGGTGAATAATGGAGGTGATTCCGATTGAGGCTCCGCTTGAATCTCGGCCTTCAATGATGGGTATAAGTTGGTTCTGTAAATGGATATCAGAGATTGCTTGATTGCTGTTTGACGATCCTCAGGAAACTCCCCCTGTTGGGTATCATCTTCTTTTGTATCAGATGCAAATGCAATGCCTGCACCCAACACAGAAATCAAGACCTTCATTGTTTACTCTCGTAATCATGTCAAAGGTGCTAAGAAATTCCTTACCATTAGCAAGATCAAGAAGAAAATCAGCAGGATTCACAAAGTTGAGCCCCCCATGAGCACCATATCCAATGGACTCGAAATACTCAACGACTCGACCGGCATCCCCCGAGTATATGGACGATCCCTCCGACATGACCAGCACCTTATCAAGCATCGCATAGATTCTAGCCGACGGCTGATGGATTGTCATCACCACCGTCCGACCGCCTCGAGCCAGTCGCCGCAACGTCCCAGCAATGCGCTCAGCCGTGGTAGAGTCAAGCCCTGAAGTGGGCTCATCCAGCATTACAACACTCGGGTTCATTATAATCTCATGTCCAATACTAACCCGTTTTCGTTCCCCACCAGAAATTCCCCGTAACAGAGGACTCCCAATCCAAACATTCCGGCATTTCGACAAACCCATCTCGTTGATTACCATTTCAACCTGCTCCAATTTCTCTGCCTTCGTAAGCGTTCTGGGAAGCCTTAACATAGCTGCATAAGTCAGAGTTTCCACCACTGTCAAGTGAGCATAGAACAAGTCGTCCTGTGGGACAAACCCAATGTTGCGTTTGATGGAGCCACAAAATGGGTTGCCATTGTAGGTTATGTTGCCGGTGATATTTCCCGAAAGACGGCCAGCAAGGGCGGTAAGGAGGGTAGTCTTGCCGCTGCCAGATGGGCCAAGCATTGCCAGAACCTCTCCCGGCCGGACCATTCCGGTTGCGCCATTCAGAATGGTCCGCGTAATGGGTGCACCGTTTGAACCAAAGCATGTGGCTTTTGGGCTCCTCAACTTGACGCTATACTCCACATCTTCGAACTGATACCAAAACTACCATTACAATCTTACCATTATCGGATATAAACTCCAAAATTTGTATACTAACCTTGAGAGTGATGGATTGCAGCAATTGTTGCAAAATGGGATTGGCCGGCTTCGAACTCGAAGGGGAGTCGCCATTGTTATGTTCTTGGTGCTTGGAGGAACTCATCAGTGATCATACACAGAGAAGAAGGAGAGAAATTGAAGGTATGAATTGTTTGGCCATGGTGACAAACAAATTAATTTGTCATAATTTATAGCCATTTCATCATTTATTTTAGTTACTTGCATTGTTCATATACGTCAACGATGATCAAGGCTTTATGATTTGTTTGAATTGTAAACGGGTTGATTTACAGCGTTCATGGAGTTCGTGATTAGTGATAATTAGTGATACCAAAATTTAGATCAACAATAAGAGGGCATTAAATTTGTATAATTAACGAGAATTAAATTAATGCAAGTTGCCTAAGTGTTATTAACGACAAAAATAGTGTATTTATCCCAGTCAGTGTCGTAGTCGTCAATCTTCTCGAGGTTTTTAAGATATTTAAGATAGGACATTACAACACCTCAGACTTGTAACACTTAGCTCGAGAGTGAGGACAACTATTAGGGATGACCCCTACGAATTCAATTTGGGAGTGATAGACCATGTGAGGCTATTAGTCATATCCAATATACGCACTAAAGGCCACGAGTCTAAAGATGAGACAAAGAATGAGACTGAGGATCCGTAAGAAGCCTAACCCAAAGTATTAGCCAACTGTGTTGGTCACCCACCAAAGAAATGTCCAATCAATATGGGTTGGTCATTGCTTGGTCGACCGATCTATAGCTAGGTTGACCATTGACTAATTCGACTTGCATGATCAAGTCTGACCATGATTGAGTCTCGAGGAGAATCCTAGAGAGGTTGTTGGCAGGGATAGTGGCTCCAACATATCTATAAATTGTATGAAAGAGGTAGGCTGAAATAGAGCAAAAAAAAACAAGTCTAGCCTAATCACGAGCATGATACTAACTTAAACGTTAAAGTGTACGTGGTCTAACATTACACCGATTTATAAATTTTCTATTTTGTAAATATTATTTCGATTCCCATTATACAAACTTACGGTTGATCCAAATTTAGATATGAACAATAATCGTGATTAAATCATGTAAATGAATTATCTCAAAAGTTCAAAATGTACCCTTCTTTATAATAATTGGTTGAGATTTTATTAATTTGGGTAAACCTTAAATGAAAGTCAACACTAGTCTCTCTATACCTAACAACTATGGTTATGTGAACCAAAAACCTAACAAGTACAATGATTTATTGTAGTCGTACATATATTGGATTAGTACGTAATTAATTATAGTGAGAGTTGACAAATGAGGATATAAGATTTTTAGCTCAAACCAACTTGTTTATTTTGGTCGTTCGAAGATCGTCAATTTTCGAGAACTATGTGATGTCAATTGACCACCACATTGATGTGGTCAGTTTTGGTCGAGACTGATGTCAAGAGAGGATAAAAGACGACTTCAGCTACATATTGTCGTGGAGTCATGAAAAAAATGAGATCCTTTGTATTGATACCCAAAATGTGTATTATATATGCATGTATATGCTTTTCTTAGTAAAGAGGTAATAGAGTAACAATTTTAATGTGTTTATTGGGTGAATGCTTACCATTATTCGAGTTCTTGGTTTGACAAATTGACACTGAGGACAGTGGTTCTGAGCTGTTTGTCTCACGCATTCTCAACATTTTTGGTACTCTTTTCTTTCCCTTTTCCTTTTAAGCATTCTGTAATCTATATTCATGTGCTCCATGCTTAAGAGTAGAAGCTAATATTAAGGGTGGGCGTGGTGCAGGCCTGGGCAGTGCACAAGGCAGAGAATAGTTCCAATTTGGATAAGAAAGACAGAGGAAAAGCCATGGCACAGGCCGCAGGCCGCAGGGCAGACACAACTCTTAGCATTGCGCGTGCCAGTGACAGGAATACAGCATCCCATGTAACTCGCCCCGCCTCCGACATGCCTAAGCCTGCCTTTCTGGATATTACAGGCTGCACTATTATGAATATTTTGTGTGTTTCTGTTTTTTGGATACTGAAATTCAACTACGTACCTCCGCTCACCTTCCTTTTTCTCAGGATTCTCCCAGCAGAATAGTATTAACACCTTTTGGAGAAATTCGAAGTAAAACTATTAGAATCTATGCTCAAAGTAGATAGTATCATGCAGGTAGAGAGTCGTGATTCCTAATACTGTTTGGTATTTTGATTCAATACTGTGATATCCCATATTGGTTGGAGAGTATAACGAAATACTCTTTATAAGGGTGTGGAAACATCTCCCTACCAGCCTTATAAGGGTCTGGAAATCTCTGTATATCAGCTTTATAAGGGTCTGAAAACCTCTCTTTAACAAGTTTATAAGGGTTTGGAAAGCTCTCTCTAGCCATTTTATAAGGATCTTCTAGCAAGTTTATTAGTTCTCTAGCAACTTTATAAAGATCTAGAAAGAGCTTGTCTCAAATCGATTAATTTAGTGGAAGATCATGTGTTTATAAGTGGGAAATACTATCTCTGTTGGTCAGATTTTTTTTGGAAGCTCAAAGCAAAGCCACGATAGCTTGAAACCTCTCCCCAACCGTGCTAGTGGTTGAGGGTGGACTTGGACGGTTACAAATACCCACTTACCCATTTCTTTCCTCTTTCTTCCTTGGACAAGACGATCATGTCCAAATCCCTCCATGATTCTTCCTTCTCTTTCTCTAGGCGCTTCAATGAAGAAATCTTATCTTACAGTTTATCCTCGCGTTTCAGTAAACAGAGCAAGGAAGAAGAGAAGAAGAAACCTTCCTCCTCATCCTCATCCAGCCGTTCGATTTCCAAGCTCCGAACTATTCTAACGCTCCGAACTATTCTAACACTCCTCACCCGGATTCGCCCAACTCCCCGCCGGTCTCGCCTCGGCGTCCGGGTCGTCGGTACGCTATTCGGGTACCGACGAGGCCATGTCCATTTCGCATTACAAGAAGACCCAAAACAGAATCCAACGTTATTAATCGAGCTCTCGACGCCGACCAGCGTTCTGGTTGGAGAGATGGCATCTGGGTTGGTCCGGATGGCGCTGGAATGCGAGAAGAAAACAGAGAGGAAGAGAAACTGGAAGTTGCTGGAAGAGCCCCTGTGGCGAGCGTATTGTAACGGGAAGAAATGTGGGTATGCGAGTAGAAGAGAATGTGGGGCAGAGGAGCAGAAGATTCTGAAGGCAGTGGAGCCGATCACGATGGGGGCTGGGGTTTTGCCGGCGGCGGCAAATGGGTCCGACAAGGAATTGATGTATATGAGGGCGAGGTTCGAGCGGGTGATCGGATCAAAGGATTCAGAAGCTTATTACATGATGAGCCCTGATTGTAACGGAGGGCCTGAACTCAGCATATACCTGCTTAGGGTGTAAACCTGATTGAGTTTGGTTCATTTTCTAATAACACTCATTTGGGGTTAAGAGTTAACTTGAAAAAAATGAATTTAATAAATTTAATCACACCATTTCTTTAATTTAATCCAAAAATTTTTGTGTTTAGTGGACGTGGGCGTTTCTAATCTTTAGACTGGCCTCCTCTAACAAACTCATTAATACCGAATAATTCTTAATATAAACCCAACCCTTATAGTTCGGGTTGGGTTAGTCCGGATTGTCGGATTGAATGTACACCCCGAGATTCACGATACTCCTTTAAGACATGTGTGGGGCGTGTTAGGTATGACAAATTGTTACACAGCTCGAGATTTCATGTACCCATTTGGTGTAATAAGAGATATCCTCGACAGTTTCGAAACGTGTGGTGTTGATGAACCATGGGGGCTAAGACTCCCCCATGACATAACCATATTATAACAAAATAATTAAATGGGGGCATTTACGTTCTGCTCATAAGTCAGAGCTTCTACTAATCTATTCTTTTCCTCCTTAATCTAAACAATGCAAATGCCATAATAAAAACGATTAATCACTCTGTTACGCTTTCCCCAAATATAATTTTTTAAAAATAAAATAAAATAAAAAAGAAAAAGGGTTATTAATAGTTTAATTAATGGAACATGAGCTAATCTTAAATGGGGCTTTAATGTTTGAATGTTGGCAATAAAAGAACGTGGATGTCTTTTTCCACTTACTGGATAATCCGCCACCGCTTTGAATGAAGTTTAATTTTATACGATTCATTTTCCTCCATACCAAATTTTCCACAATTTTTTTAATTAAAAAATAACTTTTAATTCCATCGCTATTGGAACACAACAATTACATTTCAATATGTATCACAAAATTAAAATTAAAAAAAAAAAAAAAAACAATTTCCATATTCAGAGAAACAGAAATAAAAAGAAGAAATGTTTATTAACTGGGAGGAAGAGAGTCAACCAGAGAGTTGTGGCGGTCGGAAGGGCCTGACGGAGGAATCGGGACGCCTCTGGGAAGATAACTGAAGGTCTGACCGACATATCGGAACCCCGTCTTGTAATTGAAATTCGACAAGTCGGGTTTCAACTCATGTCCCATGGTTTTACCAGGCCGAGTTGCAGAGCAAAACCCAGAAACAAGAAGGAGAAGGAGAACGAAAATGGCGGACAAAGAAGAGGAAGAAGAAGAAGAAGAAGAAAGCATTGTTTTTTAAATAATTTGCATGTGGGAATATATTCGTATTTATAGTAATTTAAATTAAAGTGATAAATAAATAAAAAAATCTTAAAGGTCAACGGTATATGGAGGACGTTAATTTCGCCGGGCACCGTTACACAATTTCAATTTTAATTTTAATTATTTAATTATTTTTGCTGGGATTTTTCGTGGAAACTCATCGGAAAAATGGAATGTTTTGGTTTGTGGGGAGAACACCCGTTTTGGTTCGGTCAACATTTAATATTATATCTAATATATTTTTTATATATTCTTATTTAACGTCTTCTACGTTAGAAATTTGAAGGAAAACCCAAAACGATGTTACATTTAGATACCTAAAGTTGAGCACGTGTTTAATATAATATATTTATTTATATATTTTTGAAGAGCGAGTAGAAAATGGAAAAAAAAAAAATTGAAATAGACAGAAAATGAGGATGTTTTGCGTGGGAAAGTAAGGTAAGGAAGTAAGTAAGTAGAATGGCACACAATTAGTAAATGCTTGCTTAACTTACAAACTTTAACAATGAAAAGGATGTTTAGATTAATTTAATTTAAGCTCTTAACATTATCCGTTCCTGAACCATACATTTGTCTCAAAATTACTAATTCTATAAATTTCACATTTTATTCTAATTCTTTAATATAATCTTTATTATTATTATTATTTTTAAGATTTAATCATTTTTATAAATTTTAAATATGTTAAAATTTTATTTGATATATAATTGTAAGTTTTTAAAATTTATAGAAACAAAATTTAAAAATTAAATTTATAATTTGACCTTATCTTTTAAATTCTTAATATCTTTTCCAAAATAAAAACACTATATCTACTTTAAGAACAACTTCCTCTTTGAATTTCTTTCTAATTTCATTGCGAATTCATTGTCAGATTGTTGAGATTTTTCTTATGACACTAAAAGCATTTACTAAATCTTATCAACGAAAACTTAAATCTTCAAAAAAAATAATAATAATAGTAAATAAAAAAATAAAAATGAATATATAAAAAATGCTAATAATAAAAATACCATTTTAATACATCTTTAAACTAAAAAAAATATATATATTTTCTTTAATTTTGGATAGAAACTTTCAATATTTTATTTTAAAAATACCCTTGAATTTTATAATTTTTTCATTAATACCCTTCTAATTTTTAAAAAAATTAAAAAATACTCTTAATGTTGGTATTATGTTTAAAAACACCCATAAAATTTTAAAAGTAACCTTAGCACTCTTAACCTTTATAAAAAAAATTAAAAAAAAAATTGTAAATATTTTGGAAGTACAGAATTAATGGTAAGAGTATTCTTGAAATAAAAAAATAAAAACTTGTTTTTGAAATTTTTTTAAAAAAACTTAAAATATAATCAAAATATAACGAGAGAGAGAGAGAGAGAGAGAGGATGCCCTGGTTGGTATGCAATTAGCACAAATGTCAAGATGGTGCTTTTTTCTGATACCGACTTCTTCCCTTGATGCCTTTATCAATTCATAGAATCTAAACTCAAAATTCATTTTTAATACCACAAATCTTCAAACTTCTTCACCCATCTTTTCATGAATCTGCTTCGAACTTGTTTGGAAGGTCCTATAAACAATTTATTTATTTATTTTTTTTTAATATATTGGGTCGTTCTAATTTTTAATAAATATGTAATTATTTATTAACTTATTATACGATTGGAAGTTCGTGATCTCCCGTATATTTATTCAACTCGAGAAAAAAAAAAGTACCCAACTTATAATGGTTTAGAATGTTGGACAGTTTTAGTACTTAGTTGATGTAAGTCAAAATGTAATATTAATGCCTTTTTAGAATATAGTATTACAATCAAATTCTTTCGCATCAATAAATAAAATATTAAAAAAATAACAGAAAATTCGTGCGAAAATATTATTATTTTTATATACGAACTCCAAAATAATCGAAAGAAAAATAGTTGAGGAAATAAAAAGGAATTTGAAAGTAGAAGAGTGGTTGGGTTGACATGAGAACATAAGATTATGTGGCACACAATATAATGGTGGGGAAAGTAGATGGGGGAAATAGGTTAGGGGTAGGCTAATGGGTTGGTGTCACACCCAACCCTATTCCTCCCATATAATCAACTCAACTATGGTTTATGTGGTAAATGCTATTTATTTTTGACTTTTTCGATTTCCTCAAACATATATCAATCAAAACTAATCTATGTGTCGTTCATCTAATCAAACCATCTCAAACGTCAATTCATACAGGTTCTGTCGAGGTATTAGACCCTCCCATGTCTATGTTGAATTAAAATTATTTTTAATTACGTTCATTATAGAGATTATATAATCTACCAAAACTAACGCATAAAAAATGTAAAAATAGATGAAGTTAATTTTATCGTGAGATAAAAAAAAATTTTAATTTGATTTTTTTTTATCGATAATATATATTTTAATCAATTGAGTTAGGTATTCATTTTATATATATATATAATATATTAATAAAGACTAAAATAATCTTGTAAGGGCAAAATTGGTTTACAAAAAGTTTTAACGAGAAAAAATTGAAATATAATGACCAATTAATTACACCAAAAACAAAAAATCACCATCAAACTCAACTCAACTCTTTATTATTATTATTTTTTTTAAAAGAAAGCTTTTAATTGTGAATTCATTACATTAATAATGAACCGTATTGACATATCAAAGCCAGAGGTATTACTCGAATGCAAATGAGAGTACTCTAATAGAAATTGTGGAAAAATGTACTATAATAGAACTCTAATAGAGCTTGACAATTTGTTGTGATCTCTCTCTTTTTTTAATGCAATTGGGTTGGGTTAGAGTTGACCCGGTTCTTTGCATGTTAAACCTATACTCAACCTAAATTGGACGAGGTTCTAAAAAACCAACCCAACTCAATTTGAAATTCTATCTAACCTAATTCAATCTTTATAATTCAAGTTAGGTCGGTTCAAGCTTTCGGGTTCAATCACCCGTATGTGAAAAATAAAGTAAAAGAATTAATTTTTTTTAGCCTCGTTATTATCATTTTAAAATAAATTTATCTTTTTAAATTGAAATTAAAACGTTGACCCATTGCTAAAACACATGTAGCTAAAGTCAATTTATATTTTCATTCAACCATCTTTTGACTTTTTTTCATTAATTTTTTTTTTCCGCGTGGAATTTTAATTATAAGAAAATGTCATTGGCATACAAATCTTAGGAAATTTCCTTAAAACTTCAATATATATATATATATATATATAAACAAATTCATAAATAAAAAAGGATTGGATTTTTAAATTTCATTCAATATAAAATTAAATTTTATCTCTAAGCTTATTCAAGAAAGGATGGTTATACTATTCTAAACTTTATGTTTGATTTTTCATTCTCAAATAATTTAAAATTATGATTTTTTAATGAATTTAAATTTTTAATTATGAGTTGGGTAGTTGATTGTTTATTATTATTATTAAAAATTATATTTATCTACGGTAATATTAATAACTAAAATTTCATAAAATTCAAATATCAAATATTTACTCCATCGTAACATATCACTCATAATAAAGGTTACAAACATTAATCTTTATAATAATCTTAAAAGTATGATAGAATATAGTTGAGTTGTAACCCTATTTCGTATTGGTCAAATTGAAACGATAAAAAAAAATGTCAACATGCTAATTTTTTATTTTTTTAAAATTCAATCCGACTCAAATTGAAAAAACCTAATTCAACTCAATCAAATTCAAATGTTGGATCATATGAACCTGAATTGGCAAGATTTTCAAATTATTTAGAAGTTGAAAGTTTAATAATGTGACAATTATACGAATTTATAATTATGATGGGGAATGAATTCAAATCTTTAGTTACGTTTTCAGACTTATATAACTAACTTCATGATTATAATAAAACCAATCAAAATCAGTGATTTGTCTACCAAATGTTCTTTCCATTTTCAAACATGCAAGAAATTAAGGTATTGTTTTTAAGGTTGACGTCAAAATAACTTTGGTTTCATTTATTGACTTTGACTTTGAATATCTCTACTCCCAATATTATATATATATGTTTTAATTCAAATGGTCGTCTTGGGATTTGACCAAATATTTATTATTATTATTATTATACCAAATAATCGACTCGGGTTGTAGTCATGGTTGGCATTTTACTAGGCATTGGTTTACACATCTTAACTGTGGTTAATTATTTAATAAAAATTTATTTTAAAAATTAATGTATATAATTTGGTAAATCTTTATCAAGTTATTTATTGTATTTGAGTATAATTTGATGTTGTTGAATTCGTCCGTAAATTGAAACTATTAAAATGAATTAGTTGTAATTTTGTAAGGTCATTATTGCTGGTTTAATAAAGTTTAATTTTAATTGGGGTAAAATTAATATGGGTAGTTGGAAAATTTAAAATAGTTGACTCTTGAGCGAAAAAAATACCTTAATTAATTAAGACAGGGTTTTAAATGGGCCTTTCTAACATCGGCCCAGTTTTGAATCCAGCCCATTACGACCTACTGTGGTATAGGGATTTTGTTGGAAAATACCGGAAAATTAGTCTATTTGTGGGACCTCTTTAAAACAATTTATTTTTATTTTTAACCTTTTTTTTTAGGTTATTTATTTTGAAAAAAAAAAAAAAAAAAAAAAAAAAA